TTGATTAACGAGCATCAGCTAGTTAACACAAGGTGCACAGGCTGCTACTAACAAGAAAAATATGCCAGCATATAGCTTTGTTTTTCACAGAGAAGGCATCCGTGCTCTGCATCTGTAGTTTTCATTCCATTGTACAGATCACGTGGTTCTAATGCTTTCTGGAGGGTAGTAGTGGCTAAGACACTATCCTTACCCACCTAATATAAAAATGATGGGGATTCTTCCTTCATACAGTCCCACTGAATTATTTATTTACAGCAGAAAGCATCTTCTCTTCCTACCAAATCCACACACACACACACCCTATTATGAACAAATGGAGAGTCCATTTATCAGGAAGTAGCTGTTATAATACAGTTTAATTCCACTAATGCCTTTAATGTCTTTCAACTCGATAAGCAGCAAAGCCCTGCAAGTACTGCCATTTGCACAGCTATGAACATAATTTCTCAAACAGCCCAAATAGTTTGGTGTTTTGTCTTAAGGAATATTTACAGAAGTGTTTTCAGCTGTGACAAAAAGCACATCTCTACAGCTGTTACCCACTCCAGTTTCACAGGGCTTTTGCTATTTCCACACAGCTGTCACTTAATTATTTTAAGTTGTACTGGTCATCAAAATAGCAAATCCTGAGTTTTGATACAATTTAAAAAACAAAAATAACTCCACAGCCCTAGCAAAACAGCAACAAATGTATAATGGATGTGTTGCAAACCGATCTGCATGACAGACATTTATGTACACACGGAGCGCCATAGTCTTCAGTTGTCCAGTGGATCTCTTACCGTTTTTAGGTACAAATTCCTTTAGCTATTATAGGTAAGGTTTCTGGAAAGTTTATGTTGTACTGCTTTCACTGTCAAATCGCGAGAGTCTTTATTGGCTCACTTAAGCCCTCAAATATGTCCTGACCATTTTAAGTTTGTCAAGTTTCATTCTACGGAAGCTACATTAACAGGCAGAAATGCAAAAACATGCAGTGCACCACAGGTGTGAAAACAAGCCTGCTGCAGTCTATTCTTCACAAGAAAACTGATGATCAAGGTGAGGTCTGTATCATTTCAGCAAGACTTTGCAACCCTTCTTCGTAAGAATGATTATTTGTTTTGTCTACTGGTATTTCATTTTCAGAGCTCTGTACTTTACTCTCAGTATATTTTCTGAAAGATTACTGCATAATGTGATGTAATGGAAAAATCCACATTTTTGTTGGAACTCAGAAAATAGCTATACACACAAGTGAGGCTAATGCTGTACCCAGCAAATTGTTGAAGAAATCCACTTTGAATTAGAGTTCTGGATCGTGCACGTTCTCATCCTGCCATTCCTAATCAAAGATCTTTTCTTACTTATTTCAAGGAATTAAAATGATAAATCTAGTTCCTTAACTACCTTAGCGGTATCAGCAGGTGGTTGATCAGAATTGATTCCACTGTTTTTTCTCTAACTCATCACGACTTGCACAAAGAAGCCTGAATTAGACAGACACCTTAGTTGAAGCATTCTGAAATATCTTGCAGACATGGTTCGGGTCAACAAGCACATCATACCATTCTTCTATGCACATAATGAATGTGTAGGACCTGTGTTCCCTATAAGCTGCATGGTTGCGCAGCTGCCCAGGAGCGAATCAAGCACCACACACTTCATTAGCAGAACTGCGCACATCCGTGTGTTCAGGTGCCCCTCCCTCTGCTGCCTTGCAGCCATGTTGCTCCTGCCCTCTGCCTTGGAGCTCCTGGTCCCCGCCTGCTTGCTGTACAGAGGGTGGGGGGTGCTGATGTCAGGGTGTCCCCCCCACCGATGTATCCCATCTCTGCAGAGCCGGGGGGGGGGGGGGAGACAAGGCTCAGGAGCAGGAGAGCTGCTGCAGTGAGTGCCTTAAAGAGACAATGCACCATCTCTCATAGACTTCTCCAGCAACTAGTGCACACACACTGTCTCACACACATACAGTCTGTGTGTGTGTCTCTCTCTCTCTCTCACACACACACACAGTCTTTCACACTCACCTCCCAACACATACTTGTATTATTGTTGTTGTTACTTCTTGGTACTTCCTGCAATTCACATATATTCTCTGTAATTTTATTCTTTCAAAGTGTGTTATTTTAGTGTTTTGACTGGTCTATGCATTTCATAATTTTTATTTCTCTCTTATACTTAAATCTAATTCTTTGAGTAGTGAGTTCTAAAATAACTAACCTGTCCTGGCTGGAGTAATTATCCCTATTGGTAACTTTTTAAAAATATACATTTCATCTAGGTTTTTTGTTTCTACTGGTGGCACACATCTGCACATTACCTCGATATCGGTGCACATAACAAAATTCATTCCGCACATGGAAGGAAAAAAATTAGAGGGAACATTGTGTAGGACTGATACTTCATTTACCAGTTTGGCAACATCTACAAGGAGTTCATGCTCTACTGGTTTCAATATTTTCAGCATTCGTTAGTAGTGCATCTCAAAAAACGCTTCAATACATAGGAAACTGCTTTCACAGAGTTTATCCTGCTTTCCCACCACGCTATTTTGGAATCATGGCAACATGCTTTAAGATTTGCCAGTGAGGTGATGAGAAAGCACAGAGATTGTAAAGCTACTCTAAATAGCTATAGAGCAACTCCACAATTTCTGAGGAATGGACTGTCAATAACAACCTGGTTCAGATCATGGCAGGCACATGGGTTACTGATAACTCTAGAAGTTGTGCATGCTCACATAAAAGCATTTCAGTTTCTTGCATTTCATACTACTATTGCCACACCCTTGCCTTCAGCCGTCCTAAATGTCCACATTATGTTCCTTCAAGTTCTGAAGCTCTCTCTCAATTAACCCTTCACATGTTCTGCCATTCACTGGAATGAATTCCAGAAAATATTCCTTGATGCCTCCAACTCACAGGTGGCCACAATTCTCAATATGACAGTGAACTGTTTTAGGTGACTAATGTCAGATGTGCCGTCTAGGATTACATAATAGTACCTAGCAGTTTTGATCCTAGTAACGGATGTTTGCGCGATCTCACTAGCAACAAGAATCAATTTATTCTGAGTGGTTTTCCTCCAAAATAGCAGGCAGACATCTCCTTGCCCTTTTTCTACCAAAAATGGTCAGATGTCATTTTGTCAAATTCTGTCATGATTTCCACTTGATCCAAAACATTCCCTCGGCCATGAATGAAAAGATTCTCACAGATAAAAGCCATTTGTTTTCACGCTACTAACAACTATTATCCTATTAATGATCCCATACCAGTGACTTATTTAATTCTTCATGAGGTTTTGTGCCATCTTACCTAAGATATGTTTACCCTGCAGTCTGGTCTCAAAATTCCTTCATTGCAGAAAGACATTGCCCACTTCCATCCTACACTCCGTCTGTACCCAGGAGAGCAGGAAGCATTTCATGATTCACATTCCCAAAGTCCTTGACACACTTCCTATCAGACCAGACCCTTGAGACTCTTCCACACTGGGCTCCCCTCCCTATGCTCACGTATATTGAGTGTGGACAAAATGCAGCATGATCCTATCCCCTGATTATCTTCTCTCCTGTCCAGATGAGTGCAGAGGATGGGGGTGAGCACTGTACAACACTTCCATGGCTCTACCCCCATCCCTTGCTCCTCCCCATCTTGCCCGCAACACAACAGTGTTCCCCCACCCCATCCCCTTCTCTTGTGTCCTTCTGAGAAACATACAGCACAAGCTTGCTGTCTTCTGGGGCTCACCACTACCAGCATTGGTGATACTGATGATCCAGATTCAAAAGGTGACTAAAAAAGAAAACAGGGAATTAAAAAATATGAGCCCCACAGAACCACAGAAGCCAGTTTTGCAAGTGGAAGGGGGAAGAAGATATTGTCACAGTGATGACAAAGGAGGATGACAGTAGAAGCTGTATTTTGTGTAAACTGGAAAGGGATGGCATGGTTATTAAGGAGTCCACAGAAGGTTACAGTAATCAAAACAGGAGATAAGGGCCTGGACAGAATTTTGGCAGTCTGAACATAAAGCAAATGGATCTTAGAAACATTACGGAGGAAGTGGCAGCAAAATATGGATGCAATCTGACTGCTGGAAGAGAAGGAGCAGCTAAAAATGATCCCCACGTTACAAAGTAAATACTGTATGTGCAAACGTGCACGTGGAGGCACACACCTCCAATCTCTCACACAAAAGCAAAATAATATTTGAAAAAAGTGAAGAACTTGGTGGAGAAAAGAAATTAATTTGAAACTAGGATAGTATTACAAAGTTACTAATGCTCCTCTAATAATCAAGGCCATCCTATACCTGTTTCTGAAAGTATAACTAAGGGCTTGTCTGCAGAGTGGGGTGCTGCACACTACAGGGCTGTGATTTCTAAACTGCACTAACATGTTGTGCATTAATTAGTCTGAGAATCAACTAGGGCAGTGGTTCTCAACCTGGGGTCCGGGGCCCCCTGAGGGGGCCACGAGCAGGTTTCAGGGGGTCCACCAAGTAGGGCCAGCATTAGACTTGCTGGGACCCAGAGGAGAAAGCCAAAGCCCCACCACATGGGGCTGAAGCCCAGTGCCCTTAGCCCTGCCACTGAAGCTAAAGCTGGGACTGAAGCTAAAGCCTTAGCAATGTAGCTTTGCAGGGGCCCCTGTGGCATGGAGCCCTAAGCAACTGCCCTGCTTGTTACCCCCTAATGCCGGCCCTGGCTTTTATATGCAAAAATCCAGTTATTGTGACATAGGTGGGCCATCGAGTTTTTATAGCATGGTGGGGGGGCCTCAGAAAGAAAAAGGTTAAGAACCCCTGAACTAGGGAACCTTTAGTTGACATCAGCAGGGTCTATATGGACCATTTAATGTGTAACACATCAGTGCTCTTTAGAAATCAGACCCCCATACTCAGCATTGCTACACTGTGTAGGCAAGTCCTAAATGTATCACAACTACCTCCATCATGTAAGATTAATGGAACACACTAATCTAAGTCCTTCTGAAAATTGACGTTATTACCTAATTGGTCGATTCTCTTTACTATCAAACAGTGAGAAGATGACTTCCAGTTCCTCTCCCAGATTGGAACACATCAGACTCTTCATCTGCACAAAAAGATGGTGGCTGCTTGCTGGCACAGGAGTGTCTTTCTTTCGATGACGATGCTCCATCTACATATTGGCATCAACAACAACCACATGTATCAGCAGGTTCAAATATTTATAAAAAAGCCTAATACATTAAACATAGTACTAGTTAAACATTCTAAATGTGGGGGTAATTACTTAATCCCAAACCCCTCATTTTAGATGTAGCACCTGTTCTGCAATGAGCCAACTGATTTTTGTCTATTTTGACTTAATCAGGGTTACACACTGGCTCAGTTCGGACTGTCAGAATCCATTAACCTCTAAACTTCCAGCTCCTTCTTCTAACCACCAGAACCTAAAACCACCGTAAGCAGGTATGTACCCAAGCTTTATTCAAAATCTGGTTTAAAGAATTACTCCTTAAAATATACTATACAGTTGCTTTGTAGTTATTATTCTAAAACCAAAAGGTTCACTTTGACATAGTATAATCTGTGCCAGACTGCTCTGTAGGTGAGTTGCTTTTTCCCTTAATAACCTCATTTATCAGTTTATAGTTTGACCATTTTAACAGAACCCAGGATTGGAAAAAAAAAATCAAGTAGCACTATTTCGGTCTCTTACATTGTGATGAAAACATTTAATTTTAAAAGCTGACACTTCCAAAGTACTTAATCCTCAATGTAAGCTAACATCTTTTGCTTTTCTCCTTTTTTTATTTTTAAAATTTATGTCTCTTAGCTGATCACTAATTTTAGTAAGATTGCCCACGTTAGCAATAGCTAATTTTATTTCTTTTATTCCTCTTATCTAATTTAGCTAATCTTATGAAGTAGTCAGCGTTTTTCCACTTAATTGTATTTTTCATTTTTCTTCACTTGATTACAGTTTCCTTTCCACATAATTAGAAAAATATTTCATATTAAGTGTCCAAATATGATTCTGTAATACTACATACAGTTTTGAACTTTGAGAAAGACCAACCCAGTGTTTTCAAAACGTAACCCAAATACTGAACTGACACCACAATGAAACAGGTGACCTGTAATGTCAAGTCAAATGACAATCAGAATATATAGTAAAAAACAAGAATATTAGCAAATGTAAATATGCTAGCTCACATTTATATGGGCCCAATCTTATCATTTGTGCTTTATTCTATGGCCCATGTTAATTATTGAAATACATTTGCATTAACAAGAGTAAAACTTAGTTTAAAAAAAGTTTTTAAACTTAAGCAGATAAGACTCTGATCTGTATTACTGCAGCAATTTCACATTACCATAGGTCATATCCAAATCCTACTGAAGTCAATTGGAGTCTTTCCGTTTACTTCAGTGGAGTTTGTATAGATCAGGCCCCTTGAGAAATAATTATGATAATTTCCCATAAAATAAAATGGATCATTCTGTGTCCTGACAGGTTTCAGAGTAGCAGCCATGTTAGTCGGTATCCACAAAAAGAAAACAGTACTTGTGGCACCTTAGAGACTAAAGAATTTATTTGAGCATAAGCTTTCGTGAGCTCACGAAAGCTTATGCTCAAATAAATTTGTTAGTTTCTAAGGTGCCACAAGTACTCTTGTTCTTTCTGTGTCCTGAGAAGCCGAAAGGAGAGTTGTCTCTTATAGCTTTATTGACATCCATGTTATTATATTAGCTGAAGAGACCCCATAACCCAATATGATTAAGAGTGACAATACTCATACAATGGATATATTATTTCAATTCCATTAATCTTGGCATAGCCGAATGCAACTAAGGGCCCAGTTACAGTATTAAAGAAAGCATCTCAGATGATTTTACTCATGAGTAAGCTTTTATGGAACCATTCCAGAATTGGTTTCAGTGATGATATATGACATCCACATAACATGGGGAGCACACGCGCACACACACAGAGTCATTGGAAAGTTTAACTCAAATGAAAGCATCTCTCATAACTACAGACATATCAAAGTAGCCCCAAAGAAATTTCTGATATCAAGACAAATTCCATTATGTTATCAATAGAAAGATACTGACGCAGACATTAGAATTATTTTTTATTTTGAACGCATTAACTAAGAGTGAAAATTGCCATTGAAATGTCAGCCGAATTAGACAATAAACTCAGAGATAATTAGATACAGTGAACTAGGGACCTCTTAATGCCAACTGTCATTGGACATAGGGGGTGCATCAGGTTTTATCGGGATACTCTGGGAGCGATATCTACGTAACAGGTTTCAGAGTAACAGCCGTGTTAGTCTGTATTCACAAAAAGAAAAGGAGTACTTGTGGCACCTTAGAGACTAACCAATTTATTTGAGCATGAGCTTTCATGAGCTCACGAAAGCTCATGCTCAAATAAATTGGTTAGTCTCTAAGGTGCCACAAGTACTCCTTTTCTATCTATGTAACAGTTCACCAAAGGGTGGAATGTGAAATCTCTTCTGAGGGCCAGTAGCCCACTGGTCATCATGATCTCTGTGAAATGTATATACGGATAATATTTAAGGAGTTATGTATCTATACTAAAAATTATGTTCTTAAGGTCCTGGAATTAAGGCAGTCACCAGGAAGCGACACACCTTGGAAATGTTCCTTTCAGTCAGTAGGTATTGGACACCTATCTCCCTGTCTGGATTTTTGTATTATATGCCTCACAATACGTACTGCATATGAGGCATATAATACAGGGTGGGCTGAGAGATCGGGAAATCTAAGAGAGGAAATTTACAGGAATAAACAAACAGTGAGGGATGGGGTGTCTGGTTTATGAATAAAAACAAAGGAATGTGTTTTTTCTTGGAGTGCCAGGGGACACACAGAGTCCTTGGCAGAGACAAACTGACAGAGTGTTTCTCATGAAAACAGGGTCACAGCCAGCCAGAAATGAGGGGTTCAGGGTGCAGGAGGGCACTCTGGGCTGGAACAAGGGGTTGGGATGTGTGTGGGGGGGTGAGGGCTCTGGCTGGGGGTGCAGGCTCTCTGTGGGTCCAGGGATGAGGGATTTGGGGTGCAAGAGAGGGCTCTGGGTTGGGACTGAAGGGTTTGGAGTACAGGAGGGGGCTCCAAGTTGGGGCAGGGTGTTGGGGTGTGGGGGGTGAGAGCTCCAGCTGTGGGTGAAGGCTCTGGGGTAGGGCTGAGGCATTTGGGGTGTAGGAGCGTGATCCAGGTTGGGACCAAGAGGTTCGGAGGATAGGAGGGGGATCAGGGCTGGGTGGGACGGTGGGGGTTGTGCAGGCTCTGTGCAGTGCTCACCTCAAGCAGCTCCCAGAGCTTACCTCAAGCAGCGCCATATCCCCGCTCCAGCTCCTGCAGCTCCCATTGGCCACGGTTCCCGCCAATGGACTGGGAGTCAACACTCGGGGAGGGGGAACGTAGGCAGCACACAGAGCCACCTGGCCACGCCTCCATCAGCAATAGCAAAGACGGGGAGCTGCTTGTGGGGAACCGCCCATGAGTGCCCTTCACGGACCTCAAAATTTTTACAGTGGACACTTGTGTCCGTGTACGGACACATTGCTGACCCCTGCACAAGAGTATCTTGTTAATTAAGTCTAGAATGCAGGTTATGATTTTATTTATTATGTAACCATTTGTTTCCAATATTTCTATTTGCTAATACTTGAATCTCTAGTTTTGTTAAATAAACTTACACTTTATTTCACTATACACATATCTAAGTGCTTTGATATGTTTATAACTGGGCAGTGATCTGAAGTGGAACTGGTAAGCTGGCACATACTGCTTCTTTGGAAGCAGTGAATCTGTAAATACTGCAAGTGTCCAGTAGACCAGGGGCTGGATGCTCCAGGTACAAACTCGAAGGGCTCAAGTGCCGGAGTGTGCCAATTGCTAACCTGTGGAGTGACAGCAGGGCCTGCATAGGCCTAGAGGGAGTCCTTGTGTGGCCCATGTCCAGTGGATTTGGGAAGCTGACCCCAGCAGGCACAAACAAGGCTTCCTCATGCTAAGGGTACGTGGTAGCAAGGGCTCTCACAACCCTGGGTGCCCCCGGAAAGCACAGTTGCTATCTACTTACCAGCCTATAGAGTTCTGTAATACTGATCTCGTCAGGATCCACCATAGCATATTCTTTTCTTGGAACCAAGTCTAGCCCCAACTGCCTGTAAAGGAGAATATGGAAATAATGGGCACACATTCCAGAGCACATGAAAAAATTATATTTAGGACTCTCTTGCTTTCCTTATTTGCTTGTGCATATTTTGAACTCGTTTCTCCCTATATTAGAATTTTGATGGAAACAGCATGTCTAATACTGTGCATGTTAATTGGTGTCATGCCTGGATTCCAGCTGGCCACTAATATATTTTAAAGGTCATTGTGTGAAGGTACGTAATTAATTATAAGTCCATTGATAATTTCTCCCTCCCTTTTGCTGTGTAACATTTACACTGGGATATGTTCCATCACAGCTTTTAGTATTACATAATATTGTTAATTTATATTCCAGCCTGACTCTTGTGCAGATAGCACACTTTGAGGTGATTTGTAATGTCAAGTCAGATGGAAACCCAAAGAGACAGTTAAAAAAAAAATTCAGCAGATGTGAAAGCATTAGCTCCTTTTTATATAGACCCAACTTTATCAACTGCACTTGAATTTCTGGCCTTTATTAAATAATGAAGCAAACTTGAGTTAACAGAAGTAAAATGTAGCGGAAGCTTGTTTTTGTCACTGATGTAAGAAGTTAAGACATTGAATACACACATGGTGCAGATGTGCTTAATTAAGGTGATGACATTTTAAACAGTCAGGAGAGCTGCACTTTAAAATATTAGACAATTCTTGAAAAAGATAATCTCTTATGTAAGCAGGAACAGGTGACATTCAAAGTAAGTCAGGTCTGTGTCCCTCCGATTAGCATAAAATTCTTAGGACACAGTTCTTTAACAATTTTTTTTTTATAGGGCTCCTCAAAGATTCTGATAGTTGAAGATGCACCTACAAATTCAGTAACTTACAACACAGTTGTTGGAGATTTCTGAGTTTAATCAGGACATGGAGTCATTGTGGATAGTTCTCTGAAAACATCCACTCAATATGCTGTGGCAGTCAAAAAAGCTAACCGTGTTGGGAATCATTAAGAAAGGGATAGATAATAAGACAGAAAATATCATATTGCCTCTATATAAATCCATGGTACGCCCACATCTTGAATAATGTATGCAGATGTGGTCACCCCATCTCAAAAAAGATATTTTGGAATTGGAAAAGGTACAGAAGAAGGCAAAAAATGATTGGGGTAAAGAACGGCTGCCATATGAGGAGAGATGAATAAGACTGAGACTTTTCATCTTGAAAAGAGACGACTAAGGGGGGATATGATAGAGGTCTATAAAATCATGACTGGTGAGGAGAAATGAAATAAGGAAGTGTTATTTACTCCTTGTCATAACAACAAGAATGGGTCACCAAATGAAATAAATAGGCAGCAGGTTTAAAATAAAACAAAAGGAAGTATTTTTTCACACAACACACAGTCAACCCGTGCAACTCCTTGCCAGAGGATATTGTGAAGGCCAACACTATAACACGGTTCAAAAAAGAACTAGATAGATTCATGGAGGATAGGTCCATCAGTGGCTATTAGCCAGGATGGGCAGAGATGGTGTGTGTGTGGGATGGTGTTAGTGCCTATTTGCTCCTCAATCCCCTGCTTGGCTCAAGCCCGTGTGGGCTTTAAGGCACTAGGAGGGGCTAAGCTCCAGCATGTCTGGGCACAAGCTCTCTCTCCTCCGTCTCCCAGTCTTCCTTCTCACTGAGATGGGAAAAGGCAATGTAACCTTGCCAGATAGCTGACATGCAGTCTTATTAGCAGTGTCTAATGGTGGGTCCGTGGTGAAATTTGGGGCTTGATGCAAACATTTTAAAAAACTAATTTAAAAAAATGAATTTGTCACACTTGGCTCGTGGAAATGGAACACAAGGGAGCGGAAGGATGATGAGAACAAAAATAAAGGGTGAAAGATAATGGACTAGGGGAGGGAAGAATTAAAAAGTTATTTTGTTTTACAGGTTTTTCACATTTAAAATACTCCTTGACACAAACTGCTTCACACACCACTCAGTATTTGTAATTCCTGTTCTGCTGTCACCCACATTGTGCATCCTGTTGCATTTCGGTCTGGAACTCCATCCATGCCAATCTCCTGGTGTATTATGATCGCTGTGGAAGGGCCCAGCCTACTAGTACACACTGTCACTTTCTGCCAGGAGTAAGGCCCTGCAGCTGCGCCTGCTCAGTACTCCTGAAACCCTAACAAACCGGCTCGCCTGCCTGATGGACTGCCCTGCCTCAGTGGCTGAGGAAGCTAGCAGGCCAGTTCTTAAACCCAGCTGCAGCAGTAGCTTGCTGGCTGCTCAGCAACCACACCCATGGATTCTCTGCCTTCCTGTGCTCGTGTCTCTCCAAGCTCTGCTCCTGATCATCTCCTCCACAGCTCCAGTATAGACTCTGCCCTGCACCCAGTCTTGTTCACATCCTGTCCCAGTCTTTCTGCTGCCTCAGAATCACCCCTGCTCCTGCCTTCCCTGACTCCCGGTAATCTAGTTGTGACCCTTGGCTCTGATTCCTGGCTCTGACTTGACCCTTGGCTCTGGCATTTGGACTCTGACTTTGGTTCTGATATTCGGCCATGGTTCCTGGTTTTGATCCTGTCTTGCCCCTTGACTCTGGCATTCGAACTCCGACTAGTAGGCCTGACCGCCTACAAATCAGTCCCATGACATTTTGTTTCAAAGTATCCAGTGCTGGCTCTGTTGGGAATAGCAACCGTTTTCATGCACATTGGGGAAAACTGAAAATAAAAGAATTTATATGACAAACACTTTTACTCATTTATATCTTTTTTCAAGGTAATAAAAGAAAACATACACACATTCACTCTCCAAAGCAGCTGGTTTCCTTAAGAATAATATCCACTGGAAGAGGTTTTAGAGTACACATTATGACAGACAACAGAGCAGAAAGTACTAAAATCTGCTCCAGAGTTCTGTTTCCCTTACAGAGGAAAAAAATAGCAATGAAAAGTTGTGGCACACCAAGGGTACCATCAAAGTTTTTTTGCCTAACTAATGGGAGTTCTTATTCTGTTACATTTTAAAAATTCATATATAGGGGCAAGAAAAAAAATCACTGTTTTACCAGAATATTGGTATCTACTAGCAAAAGATGTACTGTAAAAAGGATTCTCAATCTATAATCATATACACTGGCTGTACTTAAAAGATTATTCCAGTTTGTAAAATATTCCTTGTACTTAAAATGAGAAATGTTAATCTCTTTCAAACCACAGAAATTTTTAATTGTGACCACTGTGTGAAGTTTTTCATTTTATTCATGTGCTAACTATTAAGTAGATCTAGTGTTGCTATACAAAATGTTGCCTGGTTAAGTTTTCCTTGGACTTAGTATTTTGTATGCAATGTTTTTTTAACAACATTAAAACCAAACACTGTATTTTACACAACTTTTGTATCATTCTCAATATTTTTAAACTTCTATTTAAGGTCTTAAACTACATGTTAATCTGGCATTTAGAGAAAACTAAAAAGCATTATTCATCCTACCCTTATACTCAATGGGAATTTAACTTCTCACATATTGCAATATTAAGTAATCAATAAACTCTAAGGCATAAGAGAGATCTTATCAAGACTGAAATGGCTGCAAAGTTCAGTTATGAAAGTTGAAGGCGCCCTTATGGAAGGAAGACAAGATTCACTTACATTTAAAAGGTTTGGAAGATTATCAACAACAAATGAAGTATTGTCAAGTGAAACAGAATTCAGAGTTCTTTCTCCATCACCCATTACAATATAGATGTGAAGCACTACCCCCTGTTGCTAAGAAAAGGGGTACGGGGGACAAACACAGTGACTTGTGTCCACTCAGCCCCGCATAAAGGGTTTCTGGAATTATGTACACACATCACTGAAATATAAAACCATGTGTTCAGTTAGGCTTATTATGGAGGCCACAGAGGGTACATCTACACAGGGATAAAGAACCCAGAACTGGCCTGGGTCAGCTGGCTTGGGCCCTGGGGCTGAAAAATTGCTGTGTAGACATTTGGGTTCGAGCTGGAGCCTGAGCTCTGGGACCCTGCCAGGGTGGAGCCTGAATGTCTACACAGCAATTTTTAGCCCCAAAGCCCCAACCCCACGAGCCTGAGTCTGCTGACCTGGCGAGCCGTGGCTGTGCCGTGGTTCTTTTATCCTTGTGTAGATGTAGCCCGTGTATTGGTCAGCAGGATTTGGAACACCTGTTCAGCAGGTATAGCAGACCTACTGATATGAAGTGAAGGGGAGGTGAAGCGATGCTACAGCCCTATTCTCATCTTGCCTCCTCTGAGGCTGGTGCTGATGATGGTTGTTATAGCTGGTCCCTGATTTGTTCTCCCCAAAACCTGCATCCAAATTATAAATCTGCCTCTGAATGTGTGTCCTCGGTCCTTGCACTCACAAGGAACCCTCCGTTGGCCGAGCCTTAATTTTCCCTAAGTATCCAAGCTAATAAATCAAACCTTTTAGTTTTCAAATAGAGATAATGGTTCTAAGGAGGCTAAATATGAAAAGAAAAAAGGTATGTGTAACTAGATGGCTTAGGTTCTGATCATGGAATATGGAGCTTTAGACTTTTAAGTCACTGGTTCAAATTCAGTCCAGGTTTGGTAGTTTGTCCAGTTTTCAGTGGACAGATGTTCCTATTACAAAACTCATTATCACAATTGACACCCATGTTGGCATTCTCAGCAGTGTTCTCAAGAACTGCATAGATATGGAGGCTGATCATTGCCCTCTTTTTTCCTTTCTACCTCCATATGTGCTTTGTTGGAGCAGAAAATGGGTGGGAGAAAGAACATGACTCTGAAGGGTATGCTAGATTGGTAAATAAAGGAATCTACTGCTATAGAGCTATATATTATAGCTGTAAGCTTCAAAGGATTTGATCATTTTTATGCCTACTAAAAACATTTGCACTATACAATTTAGAGTGACCTAACTATTCAAATCACATAAGTCAAAGTGCAAGCCAATCTCTTGAAAAGGTCAAGAAGAACTTCCCAACTATACATGTACAGCACTGTATAACTATCTAGGTACATAAATCGAGAAGGCTTCCTATAGAATGTGGTACAGACCACTGCCAGACATAGGACACTGTGACCACAGTAGCCCATTTATGCCAATTAGCAAAGGGCACACCCAACCACATTGTTGTCAGAATAACTAGACAATCAGTGTTTTGTAAGGTATCATACAAAAACTGGTGACATGCTGGTGACTTCCTGAGGTCTCTTCCAACCCTAATCTTCTATGATTCTATGGTCATGAATATCATTGTGTGATTGTATGTATGGGCTGTGTATAAAGACTTGTGTGTGTGCTGGAAAAATGTTCTGAAAATATCTTTTGGAGGCAGCTGATAAAACAAGCCTGCCCTAGACAAAGGAATGTGGATTTACCTGTCTGCATGTATCAAGCTAACAGGCGGATGAGAAAACAGAATGGCTTGATTACAAGCAAGGGCAATGAAAGTACATTTGCATCTAAGATAAACAAAGTGATCAAGCCAATCAAGAAAGCAAGCTGACCAGATGATGAAAAAAGGGGTTGGAGCTTGCACCCCAAAGAATTCGCAGCAGGGGAGCGGAACTTTGTCTGGGTTTACTTTTTAAAGAATACATTTCAAAGGTTTTCCAGACTATAAAAACAAAGAAAGGGAACTCCTTTTTTATCCATCACTTAGGGGACAAAGGGATCAGCACCCTCTGAGTCTGTCAATGGTGGATCCTCCTGCCTGTGGGGCTGGAAATGGCAGAAGCTTGAAGTGATACTCCTGTGGGAATTCTGTGCCACTGCACAATGCAGAATTTTGCAGAAATTAACATTGTGCGCGCAGAATTTCCTTTCCCCCACAGAAATGGGCTGCAGTGCTGCTGGCCACAATTAGGGGTCACTGGACTCTGCAGAGCCCAGCTTGCACATAGAAGACATCCAGGGGGGAGGGAGAGGGAGCTAGAGGTTCCTGGCAGCTGCAGTTCCCAGCACGCCCTGAGGGAAGGAGACAATGGTGCGCAGGAAACTCTGTGCAAGCCTTAGACCGAGCATTAGGCTGTTTCTCCCTGTGGATCCCTGGGCTATGGGGAGAAGGGTTGGGCTTTAGGTGGGGGTATCTGGGCTGGCGGGCCCCCCACAGTTGGGCTCTGGGGAGAAGGGGTTGTGGGTTGTCTGGCCCCCCAGCTGGGCTCTGGGGGGAAAGGGGGTAGAGAAACAGAAACTGGGTTGTTACAGGGATTTCTTTAACTCTCTACTCCTGGGGGAATTTTTGTGTGTGTCTGCATTGTTACAGACATACTTGCTGACAGGAATTATGACATAAATTACCAAAATAATAGAAACTGGTATGATTATGTAGTGTTATTTTCACAAATAAAATTTGCAGAAATTTAAAATATTAGGTGCAGAATTTTTATTTTTTTGGTGTAGTTTTTAGTTTTTAATTTTTTTGGCGCAGAATGCCCCCAAGTGTGGGTCCTTGACTAACAGGCTGGTGTGTGCACACTCTCTTTGGCGGCAGCAAACTTGGTAATTTCTATGAGTGACAAGTGATAGGAGCTGGACGTTATGGACACGTTTCTGGGAAACTCAGGGGTGTTATCTGCAAGGCAAGGTGAAGACTGGCAGAGTCTTGGGGAGTTTGCTGGTGATGCAGAGAGACTGGTGTGACAAGAAGCTGACACACCATTAGCTTGAGAAATAGAAGGGGCAGTGGATAAGATGGAATATAGACAGGTAAAGAAGAGTAACAGGAAATTATGTCAATGGGAAAAAAACCTAGTAATAAAACCCAATAATTTATTTGGAAATGATCTGGCAAGGTACAGAGTACCCTCAATATGAGCTGGCTTCAATGACTGTTGAGGGCACTCAGCACTTCTCTGTGCCTGGCAGGACTGACCATCTTATGAACAAGGATGCTCCTTCTCTTCCCTTTTTATTTCTTTCCTCCCATCTCTCCAATTCACCCAAAAACTAATGAAATTAGCAACCCAAGTAAAAAGAATCTTTCTTCATAAAGACTAGCTGCTGATGATTTCCTCCCTCTGCAGATAGTGTCTGTTTCTAGAATTCATCTGCTTACTCTATCAAAGCCAGCAGTAATACTTAAGTAGTTATGAACATCTGTAAAGTGTACAATATCCTCCTTCGATTTAGTAATAAACTAAATACCACTCCTCAGTATTTCTAAGATGCCTATCACCTTGGTTTCTAAACAATGGGTGAGCAAATTATTTACTGGTGTAAAAGGACGGTAGAAAATTACAAAAGAAGATTCCACCTGCAAATCAGGATTCATTTTTTCCTTCCTTACTCCTTCTCCCCAATTCTGTTAATTATTTTCTCTGTTTTGCCCCCTTTTACTGTATTTTTAATTAATCTTTCAACATCCCTTATCCTGAGAAGTATCACCTGTTACTTTATCTTCTTTCAAATTCTCTAAGATGTGGATCTGATCTTAATCCACTGTAGTCATTGGAAAAACTCCCATTGACTTCAAAGAGTTTAGGATCAGGCTTTATGTTCTCACATAATAATTTCAAGTCAGACCATACTTATTCCTCATGGATCACAAAAAGAACAAACATAATGGCAGAAAAGCTGCCCAATGACCAGTTAAGTTTATAGCAGAAATTGACACACTGCTTTAGAAACTAGTGGCCTGATTTTCAGAGGTGCTGAGCAGTCACAGCTCCTGTTGACTTTAACAGGAGTACATGTGGCTCAGCACTTCCGAAAAATCAGGCTAGAAAGTCCTTGTAATTAAGACAGCAGCAAAAGAAGAGTAATGTACGACAGGTCAGCTGCAGGATAATCTCAGTGCAGTTTGTCCTCTCCCTCCACAATCTCAATTTTTCAAAATCATGCTGCAAACCTAGAGGCAGAAAGCTAGATACGTATACAGATGTCATCACTCTAAGAGTACACTTCATTTCCTGGCATCTGTGCTATTCAGCTGCCAAACATGGCCCAAGCCAGGCAACAACGGTTGGCACCTCTCTAGAAAAGAGTCACAAGAGCCTTTTGCCCCATTGCCAGCTATAAGAACAGGGCATCAAATAAGTCTTGATTTTGAATGCAAGCACTAAGGTGCTTTTAATCTGTGCTGCTGTTTTCAAAAGTAATATTGAGTCGAGAGTAGCCTATTGTGTTTATTTTTCCTACGTGCAGCGTGTCTGGAATAGAGATGAGCTTGCTGGCCTTTCAAACTGTGCAAGATAGTGTCAAGATCAGCATGAGCAGTGTCTGGAAAAGTTAAAACCACATTCAACATCAAAACTTTAAGCTATTAATTTTTTATTTCTAGAATTCATGCTGTTATGCAGTTAGTAACAGTGAAGTGAAAGCCTTTGATATGGTATGAGTTTAGCTAAATACAAAGGCAAAAAAATACTTGTTTGCTATCAAAATGGTGACAGCGTATCTGATTTACTTAGCTCTCCTAAATAATATTCAGGTAAAAGCAAAATGCAGGAATCTGATTGGTTTTCTTTAATAATTTTTATTTGTTTCTTAATATATCTTGAAGCTGCCCAGGTAAAAACTGACCCATGACAGAATCAAACTAAAAATTTTGGACCAAAACCTCAGCTGTCATGAATCAGCATACCATGTGAGGATATGGCCTTGCATGTATTGATAAGGTGTTAAAAAGGAAGTCACCTTTCACCTCAAGATCCCTGCTAGCCCTACATTTCTAGGATTGCTAGGTAAGTGCCAAGACAAAGCAAATATTTGTTGGGCTTTTTGTTTTATTTTTTGTTTTGTGGTTGTTTTATTTTTTAAATAAAGTGAAGCTACAAATCATTTCTTTTCAAAGTATAAAATGTGCTGGTCCAAATCCACCCCTCTTACAGAAAAGAATTGATGGGAGGGAAAGAGTCCTCAGAAAATGCTGACATCAGACTCAGCATTTCTGCCACACACCAGTTCCTTATTTTAACACGTTACCATGAGCATAAAATTGTGGCGCTGTGATTCATTTATCATGACTGTGTTACCATAACTGCTTCTATTATTAACGCTTACTTACTCATTGCCCCAATCCAGGCGAGCAGTGATATGCCGTTTTACATCCTTCATCCGGTCATGGGTAAGATGGCCAACAAGCACCTGCCTTCTCAGGTCCAGGATTTCATTCATTATGTGCCATAGTCGATGAAAAAGATCCCCTTCATTTCTCTGTCAGATACACAAACAAACAGTTATGTATACACTAGCTGAGGAGGTCAACAATGCAAACAGGTACACTGTGAGGGGGGAACAAAAGCTCTTCTAGGACCCTCCCTAACTTCTCCCTCATGTGCTTCATTTCCTCTTTGCCCCATCATACTGTGATTCTCCCTCAAAGAACGGGTGAGAAGGGTAGGAACAAATCTATTCAGAGACTCAACATCACTTCAAGCACAAGCTACTTGTGTTCACTAAAGGCTACTCTTGAACCACTACCTCCACAGCCTTCACTACTTCTTGCTGGCCTGAGGAGCAAGGAATCCGTTTCAGTCCTTATTTAGGCAAGCCTGATTACTGGTAGTGTATATCCTGGGTCAACTGCAAATAGCTATAAGTACATGTTTTTAAATCTTTCCTGACAGGCACCTTCTGCTTAACTTGACTCTCAAACATAGGGAATTATCTGAATTGCCTTATGACTTCTTCTCCCCACACTTTCCCATCATAGTTACACAATGGTATATTTATATAAGGGTACACTTCACTCTAGAAGTACAAAGTATATTTCATTTCCCATAAAACCAAAGGACAGCAACAGTCCCCTTCCCTCACCAGTTCCAACTCTCATTAATTAACGTCGTCATATTTTTTTATATTGTCTGGAGAACCTTATTTTGAGGAAGTGCTTTGAATCTTTAAGATCTGATGATGTAACATACAGAGTTTTGAAAAACATTGTGTTCAGAGCTAGTTCTTCTTATCCTGGCATGGTATCTCCTCTTCCCCTTTTCCTTGTTACTATGAACAGCTTCATAAAAACAGGAACATCAGCTGCCCCTGCTGCACAATCCCCATGAGAAGTCAAAATCCTCTGTCACATCACTACCTTGTATCTGTAACTTCTGAACCCGAGAACCTCTTCCAACTGCTTTGTTTTGTCTTCCTTATTTATTTCATTTACAGCATAAAGCAGGCACCTAGCCCACTTTTGGTGCCAAATAATCATAATTAGTTGCTATGAAGAAGATTAAGCAACAGGATCATATGAACTTCTTAGCAACACAGGTCTTGATCCTCATGCACAAGTCCTTTGAAATAGAAACAAACCAGAATATCTAGAAGACACAGAACTGCTTCCAGATGGAAAACTCTGAAAAACATTCTATCAGGCACCAGTTGGTCAGTATTCCTTTTAGTAAGTGTTAGCAGGGCAGACCCTAATTTTGTTATAGAAATATACTCTTTTTCAAATAGCTGAACTCCAATATGAAATATAGGCTATGCCACTGAAAATGGACACCACCATGGGACACAAAATGTGACCTTCCTCACAATTATTTTAGTCTGATGTTCAATATCTTCCAAGCTCTATAAATATTTTGGATATTTTATAATTATATTGCTGTTATGTCTAGCAGCCTTGATCATGGATCAGAACTCATTATGCTAGATGCTGTACAGAGACAGAACAAAAATATGGTCCCTGACCCAAAGAACTTCTTGTTTTTCCAATTGTCACTATTGCTGAGAAATTAAAATAACCATTATATTAACCAATTCTATGCTTCATAGCTGCATTTTGGTACAAAGGCTATCCTAGTATTATTGAATATGTTGATGTTCAAAAATGTTTTTGCCTACAAAATTATAAACTTAAGGAGGGATTTTTTTGTTTTGGTTTTGGGGAAGGAGGCGAAGGAGGTTTAAGAAAGCCCTAGAGATGTATTAATTTCACTTTTATTAGAAATATAGTGTGGAAAAATCCATGATTGAAAAATAAAAATTAGCAGAGAAAAAGATTCTCATGAGTTAAAATAATGAAGAACAGTTCTAAACACCTTGATAAGCAAATACATTTAAAATAATTGTATTTACAGATGATTCAGTGATACATTAGTTCAACTAATCATATATGTTATGAAATTAGAGCCCACATATCTTACTACAAAAAGGAGTCGATTCCACATCCCTGTCATAATAAATATGTACAGGAGCCTTATTTAAGGAGATCTCTTTGCTTGACTCGCATTAAATAATGAAGCATTGAAGCCTATCTCAAATTAAGAAGTAGTGCATACAATTTCATTACAGCTTCACTGTCAAATTCAATTGCTTTTGTCAGTCCATGAGTGGCTTAGGTAAAGCACTCAGGTGACTCAGTTGGATGTGTGGCACCACCTGCTGTCGTGCTGGGAGATAACAGTCCCCGAAGGGGCTGGCTGGGTATCATGAGCAGAGCAGTTCAGGCCAAGCCAGCTGAATGGTTTGGGTGCACAGTGGTTCCAAGGCTTTGAGGCTTCACCCCGGGGGGTGTGGGGGGGTACATCCCATCACACAAATTATTAATGAAAATATTGAAAAGTGCTGGACCAGGACAGACCCCTGTGGGATTCCACTAGATACGTCCTCCCAGTTTGACAGAGAACCATTGATAACTACAGTACTCTGAGCACAGTTGTTCACCCATCTTATAGTAATTTCATCTAGACCACATTGCCCTAGTTTGCTTATGCGAGTGCAATGTGCCTTACTCAAGCAAATCAAAAGCCTTGCTAAAATCAAGATATATTACATCTGCAGCAGCTTCCCCACAACCACTAGGACAGTAACCTTGTCAAACAAGAAAGTTAGGTTGGTTTGCATTGATTTGGTCTTCATAAATCCATGTTGGCTATGACTTATTATCCCTATTATCTTCTGGGTGCTTACAAATTGATTGTTTAATAATTTGGTCCAGTATCTTTCCAGGTATGGAAGTAACTCAGGTCCTCTTTGCTTCCCTTTTTCAAAAGGGATACGATATTTCCTAGACCTCTGGGACTTCATCTGTTCCTCATGAGGTCTCAGAGCTAATCGCTAATGGGTCCAAGATTGCTTCAGCTATTTCCTTAAGTACCGCAGGCAGAATTTCATCAGGGCCTGCCAAACTGAATATATCTAACTTATCTAAAGATACTTTAGCCTGTTCTTTTCCTATTTTGGCTTGTGTTCCTTCCCCATTGATGTTAATATTAATTGTGTTAAGTATCTGATCACAATTTATCTTTTTAGCGAAGACTGAAGCAAAACAGGCAATAAATATTTCAGCCTTCTTGAGGTCATCTGTTATTGCCTCTCCTAGTAGGCTATATAGAGGACTGTAACGGGGTGGAGACTCACCCAGCGGTGCCTCCTGCTGGCTGTCTGGGAATTTTTACCAGCCCCGGAGCGCCCTCTGCCGGTGTCTTACCGTCACTGGCCCCCATGTCCCTCCTGGACCCCGGTGCCCTTTTACGTGGGGTGCTGCCCCTCCAGGCAATACCCCACAGATCTGGGTCTCCCCTCCCCGGGGAACCCCCCACCCTCTATCCCCACCTTGCCTCAGCCTATGGGCGACTGCCAGTCACCATCTAACACCCTTTCACTGGGGCCGACTGCAGTCTGTATAAGCCAGGCATCAGAGGCAAGGGGGGTTTGGACCTGCTCCCTCCACCTATCCTTGGGCTGCCCTGTTTCAACCCCAGTACGCTGTCTTAGGCTGTCTGCCACGCCTGCAGCCTGGGGCTTTTCCAGCTGGAGCCTCCCAGCTCCTTTGGCCTTCCCCAGCCCTGCTTCACCTTAGGTACCCTGGTATGCTCCCCAGCAGCCAGGCCCGTCTCCCTCCACAGCTAGTGGAGACTTGTACGGGGAGACTTTGGCAAACCAGTAAAGTGCCTGAAACCACTATGGCTTATTGCTAAAAGCATACAAGTCAGCAGGCTGTAAACTCGCCATTCAGCAGTCTCAGTTTAACCAAGGCAGGAGGGGAGCGGTTTTTTTGGGTGCCAGAGAGGGCAGCTTGACCCCGTGTCCTTCCTGATAAGAACTGTGTTGAAGTTGCTGATACATGTGTCTTAGAAGACCAGGATGTGCCCCAGGAATGTCTATTGGGGCCTCAAGGCTGCAAACTTGAAAAACCCACACCTGGTTAATCGATAATCAGAAGAAGCCTCTTGCTTGCCCATTGGAACTGCTTGCTTAACAAGTTTTCTTTAAGGGACATGTCATTCTATTACTAATGTATAAATAAGGGGGAAAAGTTTGAGGTGGTGGGACTCTTCAGGACTGTACTCTCCCTCTGGATGCATCTTGTGTTCCCCACCAGCGGACGGACTGCCACTGTGCCACTCGAGAGTCACACTCAGCTTTGGTAATTATGAAGGGTTGGAGGTGTTTTACTAACCCGTTGCGGACGTGTGTATAAGTGCTTGAGACTAAGTAAAGTTTAGCTTTAAGTGAAAGCACTCTTGTGTTGTCCTGTTTGTGCCAGCCATCTATCGGTCGGACAGCCGCGTCTCCCCTGATTTATTTCCTGACACCACCTCACACAGAGTAAAAGTTACCAAGAGCTTTGGGTTGAAAGAACCCCGGGTAACAGACTCTGTGTGCTCCTGGCCCACTGCCCTCTTATAAGGGCCAGCTGGGCCCTGATTAAGCCAGCCACAGCCTGATTAGGGCATGACCCCCGGCTGAGGCTGCTTCTCCCAATCAGCCCCAGTTTTCCTTCCCTGCCACAGCCCTCTCCCCGGGCTGTTTTAAGCCTTTTAAGGCAGGAGCGGGTGACCACCCCACTACAAGGACTTACACTTTCTTTTGTCATTCTCTTGCTCCTAAAGTACTTATAGAATCTCTTCTTCTTGCTTTTTATGTCCCTTGCTAGGTAGAACACAGTTTATGCCTTACCCTTTCTGATTTTACCCCACTTGTAGAACAAGATAATATAAAATGGACCCCTTGCTAGAGCACTTGTACTGTCCAGTGAAAAGCTCTTCTCAAATAATCTACTAATACACCATTTTCCCCTGGTAGATGAGATATAGGACCCATACAATGAGGATACTGACCTTTACAAACAGGAAATTTGACTGACAACTGGCTAGCACAAACTTTTTGGTGATGTGTGTAATGCACTCCCTTAATGCTATCCCATCAGAATTTAGACAGATTCTGATTGCATCTTCCACTGAAATCACAAACATTGGAGTAGATGG